GTAAGTTTAAATGGGAAGGGTGATGGTAGTGGAGTGGATAATAGTGTCACTAGAGAGGAGAGTACTAGATGAGGAGGGGTTTCAGTTAGAAAGGGGGCTAGGGAGTTAAGGAGTTTGGGGAGTACAATTAATTATGAAAGGAGGCATGTGAAGGTTAGGGGTGACAATGACTATCAATAAAGATTGTTAGCTGGAATGTGAGGGGTTTGGGGTCCCGAAAGAAAAGGGGGATCATTAGGGATTTTTTGAGGAAACATCAACCTGACATTGTCATTTTTCAAGAAACTAAAGTACAGTCTTGTGATAGGTCTTTTATTAAAAGTATTTGGGGAACTAGGCATAAAAGGTGGGCTTTTGTACCGTCAGTGGGAAGGTCAGGAGGTATTTTAAGTATTTGGGATGAGAGGGTTGTGTCAGAGTGTGAATCAGTAGTTGGTGAGTTTTCATTATCAATTAGGTTTAGGAATCTAGATCTCAGTGAGTGGTGGTTGTCGGGGGTGTATGGTCCAAGTGGCCCTTCTAGGAGAAAGGTTTGGTGGGATGAGTTATATGGTTTATTTGGGTTATGTTCTCAGGAGGGGACTTTAATGTAGTTAGGAAGGTCTCGGAAAAACTTAATGGGAATAGAATCAATAGGAGTATGAGAGATTTTGATGGCTTTATTAGAGGGTGCGAGTTGGTTGACCCTCCTCTATTTAATGCCAGGTTCACATGGTCTAATTTAAGGGAAAGGCGGGTATGCTATCGTTTGGATAGATTTTTATTTTCTTTGGGTTGGGAGGGGGTTTTCCCTAATGTCAGGCAAGAAGCATTACCAAGATTGGTATCTGATCACTGTCCAGTGATGGTTGAGAGTTGTCCTTTTAGGTGGGGTCCGACTCCATTTAGATTTGAGAATATGTGGTTGGAACATCATTCATTTAAAGAGATCTTTGAGGAGTGGTGGAACTCTACTTCATGTCAGGGATGGGAGGGTTATAGATTCATGAGTAAGTTGAAGGTGATTAAAGACAATGTGAAACAGTGGAATAGGGAGGTTTTCGGGAACTTGGAATCAAATAAATATCAGACTTTGCGTAGGATTGAGGAGATAGATACTTTGGAGATGCAAGGGAGTGAGATTGAGACATTGAGGGGAGAGAGGAGGGAGTTAGGTTTGAAATTGGAAGAGTTGACTCTTAGGGAGCAGATTTTTTGGGCACAAAAAGCAAAGGTGAAATGGCTTAAGGAAGGGGATGTTAGTTTAAAACTTTTTCATAAAATTGCGGAGGGGAAAAGGAAGAAGAAATTCATTAAACGATTGGAAGTTAGGCCAGGTGTAGTGGTGGATAGAGAAGAACAAATAGTTCAGGAGATTTTTGATTTTTATTCTAATTTGTTTTCGGCGGATGATATTGTTAGGCCTGGGATAGATGGGCTTGAGTGGCAGCCTATTAATCAGGAAATTGCAACGTGGTTAGAGAGGCAGTTTTTTAGTGTGATAGGGATAAGGCTTCGGGTCCAGATGGGTTTTCCATGGCTGTTTTTCAAGATTGCTGGGAGGTGGTGAAGGGGGATTTGGTAAGAGTTTTCATGGAATTTTATGAGATAGGGGTGGTGAATTTATGCACAAATGCCACTTTTATCTGTTTGATTCCTAAGAGGGATGGAGCCATTCGAATGGGAGACTTTAGACCAATTAGTTTGACTACATCTCTTTACAAGATTTTGGGTAAGGTATTGTCAAAAAGGTTGAGATGTTCTGTAGGGGATACAATTTCTCATACACAGGGGGCTTTTGTGCAAGGTAGACAGATTCTAGATGTGATTTTGGTGGCAAATGAGGTGGTTGAGGAGTATAGGAAGTCGGGGAAGGTAGGCATTGTGTTCAAGGCAGATTTTGAGAAAGAGTATGATCATGTAGATTGGTGTTTTTTGGATTTCGTGATGAATAAGAAAGGGTATGGTGAGAGATGGAGATCTTGGATTAGGGGTTGTTTGGTGTCTTGTAATATGTCGGTAATAGTTAACGGTAAGCCAGGGAAGTGTTTTAAGGCCACGCGAGAGTTGAGACAGGGAGATCTTTTATCTCCTTTTCTTTTCATTTTGGTAGTGTATGTGTTAGGTAGGATGATTGACAGAGCTATAGAGGTGGGCTTGTTTGAAGGCTTACAGATTGGTAGAGATAGATTGAGTGTGTCGCATTTGCAATTCGCGGATGACACTATTTTCTTCTCTATGGGGGACGAGTGCCAAGTGGAAAATCTTTTTTCTATGGTAAGGCTTTTTGGGGTGATTTCAGGGCTTAAGGTTAATTTAGAAAAGAGCAGGGTGGCGGGTATTAATGCTGACCCTAGACTGATTCAAAGTGTGGCCGATTTGATTGGTTGCGGGATTGAGACATTTCCTATGAAGTATTTAGGCCTACCACTGGGAGGTAATCCAAGAGGTGATATGTTTTAGAATCCAGTGGTGGATAGGATAGGTAAGAGGTTAGAAGGGTGGAGTAGGGCCTTATTGTCCCGTGGGGGTAGGTATACCTTGGTTAAGACAGTGTTGAGTGGAATTCCTATTTATTTCATGTCTTTGTTCAAGATTCCGGTCAAAGTAGCAAAATCCATAGAGAAGCTTATGAGGGACTTTCTGTGGGAAGGGAAGGATGAAGGTAGGAAGGATCATTTGGTGAAATGGGAAACAGTGTCATTACCAAAGGAGAAAGGGGGATTGGCAGTTGGTAATATACTGGCTAGAAATATGGCTTTATTGGGCAAGTGGTTATGGAGATTCCCAATTGAGCGTGATTCATTATGGCATGCAGTTGTCAAAAGCAAATATGGGTTGCATGTTAATGGTAGGGACTCTCAGGTGGTTTCTAGGGGTAATGGGCGTGCTCCGTGGAAGTCTATCTCTCATATCTATCCAATTTGGTCCCAATTCATTTCTGTGAGGGTAGGTAAGGGGGATACGGTTAGATTTTGGAAAGATGTTTGGGTGGATTCTTTGTCCTTTGCTGAATCCTATCCGCTTCTGTATAGAATTTCTCAATTTCATAATTGTTCTGTTGAGTCTGTGGCTGTTTCTTTGTTGGCCCCTCGTTCGTGGAATTTTAATTTTTCCCGGAATCTTCATGATAGGGAAATTCCTGAGTTGATATCTTTATTGTCAAGGCTTGAAAATGTTTCTCTGTCTCCAACTTTGGAGGATCAATGGTTTTGGAATATTCATTTGTCAGGGTCTTTTACTTGTAAATCTTTCTTGGATAAAATCATTGATATTCCGCATGTACCTCAGTTTTTGTTTCATAAGAAGATTTGGAAGGCATGTGTTCCTCTTAAGGTGAAAGTGTTCATGTGGATCTTGGTTCATGGGGGTACTTTGACAAATGATTCATTGCAAAAGAGGAGACCTTCATGGTATCTTAATCCTCAATGGTGCACAATGTGTTGTAAAAGTGGAGAATCATTGGATCATCTCTTTTTGCATTGTTCGGTGGCAAGGTTGTTATGGAATAGGGCGTTTGGTTTGGGCAATGTACAGTGGGTGGCTCCTAAAGGTGTTGCTCAAATATTATTATTTGATTTTCAAGTTTTTGGAATGTCAAAGAGGGCTAAAGTTCTTTGGAGTAGTGTGGTTTTTGCAATCTCTTGGGTCATTTGGTTGGAGAGGAATGGGCGTATTTTTGAAGGAAGGAATAGGGATATAGACTATTTATGGGATAGAGTGAGATACTTGGCATCTTTTTGGGCTTCGGCGAGTCCTGTGTTCCGTGGGATCCCTTTGTTTTTGATCGCTTCAGATTGGGTGTCGGTTTGCTTTGAATAATTTGTGGTTGATGGCTTTTTGTTTTTTGTTTTGTTTTTTGGATGTATTTTTCCTTTTTCCTGTTTGAGGATGCCTCATCCTCTTGGCCTTGTGCCTTAATAAAATTTTCTTGTCTGTTGCTGATCAAAAAAAATAAAATAACGGCAGCATCAATAATTTGTCTCTCCTCCACAAAGGCATTATGTGATTCTAAGACCATGAAGCCCAGCACCTCCTTCAATTGAATAGCCAACTAGCCAACAGTTTATAGGCCCCAACCAACAAACTAACCGGTTTAACGATTCCAAATCCTCTGCACCCCATTTTGGGAATTAAAGCCATAAAAGTAGCATTCAAACTTTTTTCATTAGGCATCCAATAAAAAATTGAAAACCTGATTTCCCTCCTGAAGCCACAAAGAGTCAGATTTTAGTCTCCAACTAAACTCCTCCAGTTGAGCTGTTAGCAACATCACAAATAGTATTCTCTCTTAAGGTCAACCTAACTTCACAAACGAGTTAAAGCAAACTGCTGCTTACTCAAGTTTATCCCAATTGGGCTCTAACCTTGGATGGAAATCATTTGCCCTCCAATATCATTGTTGCATGACCTTTATTTGGAGGACATCCCAATGGAAAATCTTACAACAGTTATTTGGAAAATCTCACAACAGTTATTTGGAAAATCTCACAAATATTTTTCTAAGGCCTCTTTCATCTTAGAGCTTTCTTTTGTGCCCATAAAAGATTGTGCCTTGCACATCAAAAGATTATAAAAGCCTTGTCTCACGTTTTCAGCTTATGAAACCCCATTTCAATAAAGGTAATCAATCACCGCCAAGTGTTAAAAACCACCACGACACATCAAACACATTCACCCATTTCAACTAAAATGCAGAGGTAGTCAGCATATATCTTACACTTAAGGTGTGCATCAAGGACTACACACGAAAGGACTAACAAAAGGAGATTACACATACATGCCAAAAATGCAAAAGTGAAGAGGTCCTAACAATTCCAGGGAATTGCCGACTAAGGCCAACCCTCATGCAAAGTTTTTTCAGTTCCAGTAGTTCTTTTCCTGGTGGCATTTATTCCCAAGTTTTCTTGAATTGAACAGTATTACATTAATGGTAAAAACAAATAATATAAAAGGCTGATTCATGTGACAAGAAAGAACATAGAGATATTAACCAATAATAAACTAGGATAATAACTTACATATCTTTTGCAGACATTTTTGTAAAGCCAATAGCAAGAGCATGTTGCTTTCCTTCTGCCATTATGGCCTGAGAGAGTTTATGTATACACATGAGATTATTATGCAACAATACTGAACTTGATTTCATCCATATTGTATCGAAAGAACGAAAGAGCAAAATTAATTGAGAATATATAGAAACAATATAATAAATAAAAACAATACATAACCAACAATCTAAAAACAAGCCACTATATATGATAATGATCTATGAAACACAAATTATAGCAAGTTCAGAGTGGTAATAAGAGTGGTAATAATCATACTACAGGAGTTTCTTCAGCCACATCATCATCCAAGGCACCACCAGGTGATGTAAGCCCAGGACACATTATGTTAGCTCCAGAAAGGACAAATTTGATTGCACCCCTATCCACTTGTAGTTTTTTCATTATATTAGGATCTGCAAAAGAGAATAACATAGGACAAACTTGTTGAATTGTCATAGAATAGGAATCGAAAATTATCTTCACTAGGTAGGTAAAATAACTGTTGGCACTGAAACTAAACAAAGGCGGAGCTTCTAACCCTAAGAGCATTTACAACACCAAACAACAAAAGAGAATGAAGAGCAGTCTACTATCACAAACATGTAAACACAATATTTCATTCGCTGAAATTAAACAAGCTTCAACATATGTTCATCAAAATTTGCAAAGACAGAAACAAGACATGGTTTTGATACTATAAACGTGAATACAATATATTCTTAAAAAGAAGCCAAACACTGAGGACACATCGACTAACAAAATATATACACACTAACATAACCATAGGGAAACATCTGCCCAATTCATGCTTCTCTCTATAAGAGTAACAAGTTCCATAAAGTGGTTGTGAGATAGCGATCTTAGTTGTGCTGATGAATGTCCCACAGTGCCAGCAAGACCATCCATTGGTTACAGCCCAAAACCTATCTGATTAGTCAACACCAATAACATCTTGATTCACAGGTGATTAAAAGTTAATGCGAAGTCTTATTGTTAGTGCCACAACTAGTTAGCCTTTATCCCTTGGCCAACAATTGATCCTGATATAATGTGCCACATAGTATCCTGATGGGGATCGAGGATGAGTTGGATGAAGAATAAACTGAATAATATAGAAGAAATAGCTAATTTAGGAATTTTAGTTCTAACATGTTTTATTCCTTTTGTTTCCATATTGGATAGTTTTCTATTTCATTTTTATTTATTTACCAGACACTGTCTATGCCTATTTTCCTTGCAACAATGCCTCTGGAACTATACCATAACCACATGTAACTGACTGTGAATGGGGTTGGTCTGGGCTGTTTAAGCACAGTAGGACTCACGCCCAAACTTAGCCATTAAAATACAAAATCCTCCTTCCTAAACTAATCCATATATGCTCATGGCCCTTGGACAGACATTGGCCCTATTTGGTGCAGCTTATAGAGGTGCTTATGAACTTTCAAGTCTATGCCAATTGTTTGGTGTAGCTTCTACTTGTGACTTGCTTGAGGCAAAAAAGACTTAAATAAGCTGATTATGAGGAAGCTAGGAGAAGAAGCTATTAGCTTCTATGTTTAGACTATCAACTTTTAGCCAGTCATAAGTTGCATCAACGGGCCTTTGGCTTGATCCAAATAGACTGATAACATGAAAACAAACTGAAAATTTTTCAGCAGAGCCCAAATCAAATCTAAAATGATTCCAAAACAGGTGTTTGCTCCTACACACACATGCATACACATTCTGTATAAAAACAACAATAATAAATAAATAAATATAATAATAATCTAGAGTTAGTTTATCCACACACAAAAAAAAACAAGAAGGATTTAGTAGAGAGAACTAGAAATATATTCAAGCTTCAACATTGGGGGGAAGATAGAGAGGGAGAACCAAAGAAGAAGGGGGGGAGGGGGTGTTGTGCTTATAAATGGGAAAGTAACCTTAATCACCAAAATCTCTTAGATAGCTGTTAGAATTTACCATAAACCTACCACCACTACCACCTCACCTACTCCACTAAACCTAACCCACTACACCACTACCACCTCCACTTCACCTACTCTCCACCTACTCCCAAACACACTCCTATATAATAGGAATCCTTGTAATTGTAACAATACAACAATAACAATCAATATTCATCAATCAATAATACATATATTTCAACCAATAGCTACCCCTTTCCTTTATTTGATACCAAGATCTCAACCTCATCAAGAACATCTTCAAATTAACAAAGATGGCTTCATTAATTAGGAGTTTAGGATTTCAAATGCTCATAATATCTTGAGGCATTAACTAAGGTTTGAACTGTAGTTCTTATCTTGATTTCATGTGCCTTCTACTGGGGAGAGAGATAGAGAACTGCCTCTAGTGAAATTCAAAGCAATTGAAGATGCTCATTTACATGGGTGATGTAACTAGAAGTCACACAACATATACACATTTTATAAATGAAGGAATATTACACAACATCAATGGGACACATATAGCAAATAACAAAGACAACCACATTTTCAACGGGATCGGTTTTCAAGCTTGGCCTGAATTGAACTTCACACTTGATAGTTTGTCCAAGCTCAATTTTGCTCATTTGCAATTACAGATCGGCCCTAATTTAACAAGCTAAATGGGATGGCTTTGGGCTAGTTGTTGGGCCCATCCACTGGCCTACCACATGGCACCTTTATGAACGAAAGCTAGAAGCACTATTTGCAATATTTGAATTTAAAAACTCATGTGCTAAAGCCCTTCCCCCACCATAAATCTTATCAAAACCCTAACACATAAACCTTATACTACAAGAAATAAGCCCAAGTTTTCTATGGGTCAGAATTAGAAAAGATTCTTAATGACAATATTTCCATTGGTCCACAGCTATCTGAGTTAACTTGGTATTTTATCCCAAAATATTTTTTTTAAAAAAAAGGTAAACTACCAATAAATCTTAATAGTTGGACTTAATTCCAATCAAATCCTATTGAAAATAAGTCCTAGTAAAATTGTCGCTAAAAATAATTTATTGACGATTTTTTACATATGCTGCTAAAAATTGAAAATTATGGACTTTTTTTCTGTCACAGTTTTTATAAATTGTCACTAAAACTTACAATTAGTGACTTTTTTCTGTGATAAATTTTTTAAACTGTTGCTGACAATTGAAAACAAGCTCAATTTTGCTCATTTGCAATTACAGATCGGCCCTAATTTAACAAGCTAAATGGGATGGCTTTGGGCTAGTTGTTGGGCCCATCCACTGGCCTACCACATGGCACCTTTATGAACGAAAGCTAGAAGCACTATTTGCAATATTTGAATTTAAAAACTCGTGTGCTAAAGCCCTTCCCCCACCATAAATCTTATCAAAACCCTAACACATAAACCTTATACTACAAGAAATAAGCCCAAGTTTTCTATGGGTCAGAATTAGAAAGGATTCTTAATGACAATATTTCCATTGGTCCACAGCTATCTGAGTTAACTTGGTATTTTATCCCAAAATAATTTTTTTTTAAAAAAGGTAAACTACCAATAAATCTTAATAGTTGGACTTAATTCCGATCAAATCCTATTGAAAATAAGTCCTAGTAAAATTGTCGCTAAAAATAATTTATTAACGATTTTTTACATATGCCGCTAAAAATTGAAAATTAGGGACTTTTTTTTTGTCACAGTTTTTATAAATTGTCACTAAAACTTACAATTAGTGACTTTTTTCTGTGATAAATTTTTTAAACTGTTGCCGACAATTGAAAATTAGTGACATTTTTTTTTGTCTTTTTTTTTAAAACTATCACTAAAACTTATAATTACTGACATTGTCGCTGAAAATTAACAATTAGTGACGTTTTTTAATAGTATTTGATGAAAAAGTCATTAATTATCATAGGACTTATTGGACAATGAGTCCCCCCCCCCCCCAACACCCAAAAAAAAATAATAAAAAATAAATTAGATCATATTAAAATAAGAAAAATTAAAAAATGTTAAGGAAAACAAATTGGTTTTGAAATTTTGAGAAGATTTGTAATAAGAGATGAGATGGACCAAGATCACCATCACTTTGCCACCAAACCTTCCATGCCACCACCCCAAATGGGGCCATAACCACCTAAACCTACGGAACAATGCTAATGCCAGCATTGATTCCAACTCTCTACTCACCAGCACCAACTACTTCTCTATTATTCTATTGTCACCACCACAACCATCCCCATCCTCATCGCCACTCCAACTAAGGCACCATGCCAAAGCTTCTAGCAAATGCCATAATCATCAAACAGGGCTGCCCTCAACCTTTCACTTCAATATTAGTTGTCAATCCAGACATTATTACTTCACCAACTTCCAGAGTTTAACTATCACACTCACAATTGACAATACGATCAACAACATACCCTAAAAAAAAGCAGACTCTTGTAGACATCTCATAATAATGATAACATAAAAGTTTCACCACTACCATTTCCTCCAACAACTCTTTAGAAACGTGAGGATCAAGAAATTAACGTTCACTTTGACCATTGTATTTGTGCACCATCAGCAATACAATCATTTCCTCTAAGCCCTAACATTGAAAAAACCTCATCACTATTGGTCTGGTTTGGGCTCAAAAATAGTAAAACAACTCATCGTGGTTTGGTTGGTCAATTTCTATACATGTTAATTAATTATTAGCTTCTAGATAGAATTACTAATGAAATCTCTTTGCAATTGAGAGAGAGAGAGAGAGAGAAAGAAAATATGTAGAATTCTAACTAAACCAAAACATAGAGTAATACAACAGGGGATTGGCCCCGCCCCTACCCACAACCCCATTGATCCAAATAAAGATGGGATTTGATCCCAAGTCTCAAGTGCAACTATTAAGAGACTATTATCCAATCTAGCTGGCACTTTGAAAACATAGGAGCATCTTTGACACAACTTCCATAAAACTTGATTAATGAATTGCGAGATTAACTAAGAAACTATCAACACCTTCGTGTACACTCAAAAACAGAGGCAAAGAAATGATTATACAACACTAAGAAGAAAAAAAATAGCTGTCGAGCAAAGAAATACTTTACATTGATGAAGAAGTCGTAGCGTAGGCATATAAGGCCCATCACGTATGTTGAAAAACAGAGGCACATTGTTGACCAGGACCAGATTTAGATGGTTTTGACTGAAAAGAAAGGGAAAAGGAAATTTATCAGAAAAATATCAGATATCCTGATAAAGTATTTATTCAAAGATAGAAACATAAGAGAAAACAAGAGCCCATAAATAAGAGACGACCATTTAGCAACAATGAGAGGGGACTTCTTTGGAAGCAACTCATCCAGCACTGGTTCTAGTCCTGGGTACTGCAGCAACAGTAATTTCTATCAATCACTTGTAAACAGATTCTAGAAATAAACAGTTAAATTCATCAGACACTGGATGAGTGAAGAAAAGAGATAGCCACTAGGAATTAAAAACCTCTTCTGCAATACTTTGTCGAATTTTGCGTTGCACAGATGCCTTGACTTGATTCTGTGCAGATACATCTTCAGAGGAAAACCTATAATCATTTTTTTTTTTAATATCAATTATCAATTAATTTTTGGATCATAAGAATTTCTTCATAAAATAAATAAATAATCGTATTTGTATTAAGCAGAGAGAAATGTGCATTCCAAGTAAACTCGAAGAAAAATGGATAAGTAAGCTGATAACTGATAAAATCCACAATAGCCTATGTCAACATCTACAATAGCTAAAAAATGAAAATAAATAAATAAATCAGATAACAACACCCTAAGCTAAGCCTAAACATTATGCCTCCAAGTAATCAAAAAATGTGTCCCTCCTAACATAGACCTTTTTGCAGCAAAGAAGCTCAATAACACCCTCATTTAACACCTATGAAAAGTCACAACTAACCAAGACCCAAATGATATACAATGTGGCACTTGATAAATAGGATGAAAAATCAAGCTACCAACATGAAGACACTACAAAGTTTGACAAGAATAAGGAAAACATGGTTGCAACACAGATACTGTAAGATCCAATAAGCAAGTAGGGATTGGTTTCAAGGGCCAACAAACAACTGAAGATCTTAGTAGTAGCAACCTTCTACTCGAGTGGCGTTTCTTACTAAAAAAACACAATTCTGCACTCCCAAGTAAGAAATTTGTAAGAAACATGCTCCTGCCGAGAAAGAACTCGCCCTTAACTGAGATAAAAACCTCTCAAACATATAAATCTCATAGAAACAAAAGAAAAACATTACTCTACTAGTTTCTATTTATATAATCTATATTTATACTTAATAAAGACAATCTATAGTTGACATAAATCTCTAATATTTATTTATATTTTCATACATATATTACAACTAAGCACTAAAAATAATTGTTAGAATATCATTATATATTTAATAAATAAATATATACACACTTCCCAACTTAAGAAACTTCTATATGCCCTCAATCCTCCACCCTCGCTGGCACTTCCACTCCCTTCCTCGCCCCCGCTTCTTGCAACTAAGCTGAAGATCAACACCACAATACATAACATGGGAGGTGATTGCAAACAGATCTACTTGCGTGGTGGTTCCACCTGCCATCATGGGTATTATGGAGAGGTTTAGTACATGAGAATGGATGGTTTGCGTAGTACAGGAGCCAAAAGTTAATTTATGTTGTTGGTATAGCACTGCGACACTCGATATAATTTCTTTGGTTTTATGAGGGTTTGGGATGATAATTGTCAAACTCTTTATTTTTTTTCAAGGTGGGGAGGGGTATGGTGATAAATTTAGGTTTTCGCCAACCTATATGTTGGGTATACCTCCTTAGCGGAGTATGAGACCCAATTGGTTTACTAAAAATATTTAATTTGGTTTGGAGTTGGTTATAATATTTTTTATATATTATATTTGACTTTTGGAGGCCCAATGGGTATTTAAAAATCTGTTTGATGGCAACTAGGGTTTTGATAAAAAGTCCAAGAGTCAACAATATTTTTTGGTATTGTTCTGTTTTTTCCCAAGTGTGCTGCAGCTGCTATAATATTGATGAAAAATCCGATGGCTTAATTTTGGTTAAAGTAGTGGTTGTGTGTATTTGCTTTGGGGGGCTTCACTTTGTTGTTTCTTCTGCAAAAGATTTGAAGCAATGTTTGGGTTTTTTTTTTTTTAATGACACCTTCGACTCAGCATAGAGGCGTTGGTTTTGATTCATTATTTTGGGACTTTTTTAACTCTGTTTCGAAAACAATTTGTTCGTCTATTTGGTGAGGTCTCTCCTCTATTTTATTTGTAATTATTTAGAATTCACCTAAGGGTAATTTGTGAGACCATCCGTTTCTCGTTCGTAATCGTTTGAAAACTCTTGGTTGAGAGTGGAATCGGATTTCAGTCCTGTGAACGTACCTCACACTGAGGGAATCACATAAAAATTCTTATGTCTTTGTTGATTTAATTTTTCCGCATTATTTTTATTTTCATCGATTGATTTACTTGTGGCAAATCATCTATTTTCCCCAATAGCATTGTGGTTAATAAGGGTGCATCTATGGTGGATCGAGATGTAGAATCAACAGAGGCTTTATTTGGGATGATTTTCGCTTAAATCAATTTTGGAGAGGCTCAAGCTTCTTTGGCATTGGGTGCATTTAGGAATGCTTCATTTTCAGGGAAGCCCTTTAATCAGAGGCAGTGCAAAGAAGGGAATTGGAGAACTTTTAAAGGGCAGAGTTACACATTCCTAGTTTCTCTCTGTTTCCACACAGTATAATTGAGAAACAAGAACAAACCTCTTTTTTGTGTCTTATAAGATACTTGAAAAACTACAAGAAAGTAAAAATAAGAGAATTTTTTTTGTTTTTGTTTTTGTTTTTGGTCCATTAGGATTGGAAAACTCAGCTGGACAAATAGTGGATTCAATCAAAGCATTAGATAAAAATTTCAATTAAAAAAAAAATCAAATGCCTCAAATGGGTAATAAACTAGGCACCAATACATAATCAAAGCATTAGATAAAAATTTCAATTAAAAAAAAAAATCAAATGCCTCAAATGGGTAATAAACTAGGCACCAATACATATAAATAAATAAAAAAATTACCCAACAGAATTAAAAAAAAAAAAATACAATACAATACAATACACTCAGAAATGACGAATTCAAACCAAAAACACTATAATAAAAAATAAAAAAAAGTGAAATTCTCTATAGAGAGAAAGAGAGAGCGTATAAAGACAACTCACTTCTTGAACATCTTGTATGGTGGAAGAGAAAGGCTTCACTGATTTGAAGCGAGAAGCACCGGTAAGTTTTGGTTTTCTAGGGTTTAAGTGAATGTAGAGCGAGAGAGGATCGATTCGAGAAAAGCGATTTTGAAAAAGCTTTAAGCGATCTAATAAAAGAGAAGCGTAGTTATCAAATCTACGAATAGTTCGATTTCTGCACTATTTTTAAGGATGTTGGGTCTGTAGATTGGATACAGAGTACTAGCCTAGTTTGGGTTAATTAATTTACACCCCCTGTACACCATTGAACTTTCATTGCCACTCCATCTACTTTTTAAAATATCACTTGTCTTCCTTATTTTAAATTTTATAGTAACAAAGTCCGGGAGCTTCTATCTACACACACCAAATTTCCTCTTTGCACATCCTTCTCACTACACACACCAAAAAAATTAATTCCTAATTATTTTATTCATTGCACACACATTTCATTCCACATCTACTCACACACATACACACCGACCCTCAAGCCCAGCTCTCCCAACGGTGCAAACACCCATTGAAGCTACATCTCTAACATTGCTCTCCCAACGGTGCAAATACACCCATTGAAACTGTGCTGCATCTCTCACATTACCCTTCTTCACACATTACCCATCTCTCCTTGTAGCTCCTTGCTTCACACAGCTTTCATCCCCAAAGAAGCATTGAATTCCAGCACATTTTCAATCCTCATTCGTAGTTAGGTTAGTTTACTTTTCAATCCTCATTCATATTTGAATTTGTAATGTAGAGTTTTGTATTAAACTATTTTCAAAACGAACAAGTTGTTTGGAACTGGTTTTCCGAAATGGAACAATTTGTTCGGACGTAGAAATCCGAAAATAATCAATAATTTCAATAGTAGATTTTCGAAAATTGTTCATTGCCTCGACAGTCAACTTCCGAAAATTTTGAATTTGGACAACACTCAACTTCCGAAATTAAGTTTTAGTTTCGGTTTTCAACTTCCGAACAGAATATGTCGTTTCGGTTTTCAACTTCCGAACAGTTTTTTTTTCCCCTCATTTTTTGTATATTCTTGTTTCAATTGTATAGTCATTAAACATATTATTTTTTGCAGATAATATGGATTCTGAATATCAACAACGTGTCCCACCTACTGCTTCAAATAGACGACGTCGTGAATTGGATGTTGACTATGAACGGGGACGAGGGTGTGGGCGAAGACAAGGTCAAGGTCGTGGTCAAGGTCGAGGTCGTGATCCAATTTCAGTAGAATATGATATCCCTAGTGCCAGTCAAAGTCGAAGCCGAAGCCAAAGACGAGTTCAAGGTTATGATATGCTTGACATTGCTGCAGAGGATGCCTCTTTACCCGATTCTCCTATTATCCAGGAAGAGGACCTTACTCATGCTTTTCCAGGTAGACCGATTGATCCATCAATACTGTGGAGTTTCAATAGTCATGTCGCTGCAGCTGTTTGGCACAGAGAGGTAAACATTTCTGAGTAAAAGTGAAATTCATTTGTATATGAATTTTTTTTTTTAATTTTTGTGTGTGTTGTATGGTAGTTTCTAATGAGATATTATTTGTGTTATAGGAATAAGGGCCCTTAAAGTGTCATAATCACTCTTCAAAGATCCTTGCATGGCCATGGTAGTCAGTAGACAACAACACCAGATTCAAAGCCATTATTGAGCAGTCTGGGCTGTCACAGTTAGCTCGTTGCACTTATCGTTTCGTCAACAAGCTTCTAATCTCCAGTTTTGTTGAGGAATGGCAACCTGAGACGAACACATTTCACATGACAGTTGGTGAGATGACCTTGACCCTAGATGATGTTGGCACTATTCCTGGCCTTCCCATTGTAGGCAAATCAGTCAGCGTACCAGATGTGACAGATCATCACGGAGTTACACTGCTGGTTTATGGCTTGGAGATTACTGAACGTGCAGCACATGAAGAGGTTTCTACTTCTGGTGGGAATTCAGTCAGGCTTGAGTGGTTGCGAAGTCAGTTTGATGGTGTCACAGATTCAGACCCAGAGGAGGCTATACAGTGCGCTGCTAGGGCTTATTTGTTGTTTCTGTTAGGATGTACGCTCTTCAGTGACAAGAGTGGCGACAGGGTTCTTGTTGTTTACCTTGGCTTATTGATGGATTTGGGATCCATTCATACTTACGGCTAGGGTGCTGCTGCATTAGTATTTTTATACAGACAATTGGGGTATGCTAGCCGGTCCGGTGTTAAGCAGATGGGTGATTATATGACTCTTTTGGAGACGTGGATTTATGAGCACTTCCGAACATTCTGACCTGACCAGAACATGGGCTACAATGAAAACATGCCACACGTGTACCATTGGGCATCTATGAGAGAGGCGGGTTCCTCCATTGATCATTTGAAATCTTTTCGAGCGGAGCTTGACAGTTTGGTAGCGACTGATGTAAGTTTACTCGTCCTCAGATAATTTTAACACTTTCCATTTATCTTACCCTTCATATACTTTAATTCAAAAACACTTTATGTTTATAGGTTATTTGGGATCCATACCACAGTTGCAGAGACCGGCATCCATGTAACCCAGTTACGTTCTACTATAGATGCTTAAAGTGCTTAGACGTGGTCGAACCCTATCATCCAGATAGAGTTCTGAGGCAGTTTGGCAGGGTTCAAACCATCCCAGATCCACTGCTAGCTCCTAGTCGTGGTGCTCGAGGCAACATATCTGCACGATATGCAGTCATGTATAGATACTTGGATAGGATCTGGGAGGCTTGGGATAACCACGTGTTATCTGAGCAGCGGAGGAGCACACCAGTTCGTCAGCCTTGGAAATGTGTACCAGGTTACATGAATTGGTATAAGAATATCATGCACCTATATGTTGAGCACACTGATATACCGCGTGTCCATAACCATCAAGATTTCAGCCAACATGCCGGTGTAATATATTATCCTCTTTTATGCATTTGAAACTTACTTTTTATTTTTTGATATGTTCCCTAAAATGTGACATTCTTTTCAAATGCAGCGTATTGCACATGCACTGCAGATTTCACATCCTATTATTGAGGCTGGTTATGAGGAGGGGATTCGACATCCTCATCGACTTTACCAGGCTATCGAGACTATGACGCATATCCTTGAAGGTCAGCACATTGACGAAGCTGGACCTAGTTCTGCTAGACCTAGTTATACTGGAGGTCGCTTTTCATCTCCGACATTGACATACAATTGTAGGCCTAGGCGTAGACATACAGCTGATTCGTGACATGTTATTTGTCAGTTGATGAATTTTTTGTGGTATTTTTTGTAAGATGATATTGTTGTAATAGTAACAGTGGTTAATATTTTCTTATTAGAATGGAATGGCAACAATCGTTGATACCATTGAAAATGACATTTTATTATTAGAATGGAATGGTAACAATGATCGTTGATTTTGTAACTGATATTTTCTTATTACAATGGAATGGTAACAATGGTCTATAACATTCAATCCATGCCACATAACACATCAACATCAACAACACATCTATTAATTTCTTTCATAATTCTAACATTGTCAAATGCATACATGTATCATGGGACATCAACAACATCAAATGTCTCTCGAGTAGCTACAGTATCATGAATAATGTGCTTGAAATGCTGAATGCGGCGCACACATGCATCATCCCATTCAACAGCGCAAGGGTGACGGTATTTTCGCTAATTAGTGGCTATAGGAGGAATTGGATGGCCTGGCTGCAACAAAACCTGCACCAAATGTCAATTGAGTTAGTGGTCATACCTCATAACTTCTTGTACATGCACAAATTGGTAAGTTTCTGTTATACATGGACAAAATGATTTCCGTTGACAAACCCAATGGCAATCTCACGTCTATCAAGTTGAGGTACTGGCACTGTTCTAAGAGGTAAAAATGGGAGACATTGCTGTAATGACAAGTGGTATAACACAAGATTGCAGCACAATGTAACAAGATGCCCCATGTCTGGCATAGTCATCCAATGTGAGTATCTAGGACTGTCTTCAAAGTATAACAATATGCTTGTCAATTCTTCAAACCTTTCGTAGGATCCATAAAGTGTAATGTATTCCTCTTTGTGTGTGTATATAGCTCACCCAACAGATCACGCCTAACCTGAGCCCAATCATCTTCTGTATGACCAATTGAAGCAGCTATCGCCCTGAAACCACAATTCCCTTCTGCAGCTACATCCTTGACAAACTTAATGTATGGTTTCAACCCAGAAGGGAAAGCATCAACATATGCACCAGGTTTCACTGTTCTAGTAATGTATACCTTCCCTTTCGCATTGACCTTCTCCTTTCCCTTAACAGGTCGCTTCTTCTTGGTTTCAAGAGTAGAAGCTAATGTAGTGATTTGAGTGTCCCTAGTTAAGAAGGAATCATGTCCAGATTACACCAACTCAAATGCACACGAGTCACGACAGGTAGAAACATTGATCTTCTTATGATCTCGAGGACCTGTTTTGGGCTTCACCTCCTGCTCAACAAGAAAAGTGCTTCCCGGATATACAATCTCTCTCAACTTCTTCAAAAGCTCCAACCGCATGGTTCTATCACTTTCATTAAACTTGTTCACAAACAACTCTACTTCTACATGACAACTCACCTCTGTTTCCTCTTCTTTGTTGCATATGGAGATATGAAGTTGCCTCCACTGTGAGTGTATGGTAGCAAGTGGTATAAGATGATCTTGTCTAATGTAGTCAGCAATCTCGTGGGCACAAGGTAAACCATGAGTGTGGCGAAGGATGTATCCATAAGCTTCAACATCAATACCAATGGAATTGGCTCTCTTACTCTCTACAAGCAAATACTGTAATGCAGAGATAGAGACATTACCCCGTAGCTCCCTGAACTGAGAAGGTTTAAATTGATGTTGCATAACAGTTAGACTTTTCTCAAATGAAGCCTTGATATCAGTGTGTTGCAACTCAAGCAGACTGTGTATTTTCTCAAATGATGTCTGAAATGAGACTTGACATGAACCCAATTGTCTTTTAAGTTTTGCATGTGCACTCTCAGCCCTGTATTTTCTCAAATGATCCATGACGTATTTGATTACATCAGGATAACTACTGAATTCCTTAAGTAATGATTTAAGACGCTCATCGTATTGAATTTCAGAAGATGAATACACTAAAGAGTTCCACTCATGGTTGAACTTCTCCCATTTCTGCTGTGTCTCAAACATTTTCTTGCATTTGGTCAATACATTCTTACTGATATGCCAACGACATAATAAATGTCTGTCACTTGGGAATATCTTCTGTATGGCA